TGTAACAAACAAAATATGAAGAACTGACACAGCCATGGCGCTGGCATTACAGTATTTGTAAAAATGATTTATATTTTATTTGATCTTTATCGTCCTTTTAAATAAGTCAACGACACTTTGACATTCCCTATCTCAATATTTATGAAGTATTTGTCTACTTTATTTTAATAAAACTGAAGAATTTGTTTGTTTAATTGCACTAATCTATAATATTAAACCTAATCCTTACTAATATTATAAATCGGAAAGTGAGTTTGTTTGTTTGTTTGTTCCGCTATCACACCGTAACTACTAAATCGATTGCTTTGAATTTTTGCAGACGTAAAGTTAGAAGTCCGGATTAAATAATAGGGTCCTTTTTATCCTGGAAAAAATTTGATATTCCCGAGGGAAAACAAAAGTATTGGTATAGATGGCGCTGTGTGTATTGGTATATTATTATGTCACAGGCTACTTTTTATCCTTTTGTGACGCGAGCGAAGCCGCGGGTAAAAGCTAGTAATATATATCTAAATTCCCGACAGCAGGTGAATGAAAGCTGCAGTATCTGCAACCAATAAGACTGTCATTATTGACACTACTAAACAACCGTGAGACATAAAATCATACTTTTTTTTACCCCTGAAGGGGTAGGCAGAGGTGCACATTATGCCACTGTAACCTAACGGGTTACCGGGGCTCCGGCTCGACGTGCAGGAGAAGTAACGGGGTGGTTTTTAGTCAGTAAGAGTCTGACACTCCCTTCCGCCTCACCCAGGCGGGAGAAGTCATTCGATGATAAGCCCCCTTAAAAAATAGAGTGGAACTTCTACGGCAGTAGGTACCTATACAAAATTGCATGCGTTATCAACAAGTAATTAATCGCTATTATAATTTAATTAGTTATACGGAACTGATAAGATTCAGATTTTGATAACAAAACTGCATCGTTGTAATTTTGCGACTTAATTGGGCACCAACCCATTTTAATTAGGTGCCTACCCATCTTGATTGCTGATTAGGGACTTAACTGTTTCTTTGTTGAGTTGTAAATTGAGTACAATGTCCTTGATTCGATTTTGAAGTCGGGTATTTTTTAATGAGTCTAGTGCTTAAAAGTAATTGGATAATTTTGATTCGATATTTGGTTTTTGATCATATCTAGGTGGTCAACAAAGGATATTATTTTTTTGTTACTGTAGGTAATTGTAACTTTGTGAGAAGAATTTTGGAAGAAAGACATGCTGTTACTTTTGGAGAGGCCAATACTTGAGACATCTCGTGGCCAATATTTTTTTATATATTATGATGATGGTGATGACAATGTAGGTATGATGATTATAACTCATCCGAACCATTATATCTATATATAAAAAAGAAAGTCGTGTTAGTTACACTATTTATAACTCAAAAATGGCTTAATCGATTTTGATGAAAATTGGTGGGGAGGTAGAAGCTAGTTTTTGATGGTTTCAATCTAAGTATACATGTATGTAGTGTGTCAGCCCAAAACAAGGTCTTAGTCAATAAGTAATATTAATTATTTCTTTTCATATTATAATACCCAATAATCTCCAAAAGGCCCATGTGGCGCACTTATAACATCTCTGGTGTTTCAAGTGTCAACGCTGATTGCTTACCATCAGGTGATCCGTCTGCTCGTTTACCGGCTTATTCCATAAAAAAATGATTCCGAAGATGCCTCGAACTAATGATGGAGCTGTCTAAAATATACACATGTATCTGTCTACCCTAACACGAAATAAAAGGCGTAGCAACGTGCCACTTTTAAAAACAAGTTACCTACATTCAGTAGTAACACAAAAGATATTCGGTATCATTTTAAAAACACATCGACTGTAGAAGAGGCGCTCTAAGGTGGACTATTCAAGCAAAATAAACCGTTAGATAAGCCACATTGCGGCCTTTTATCTCTTTAGAGTGTAGGCAGAGTGAAGATGTATATACGTACTTGTATGATAGGTTGTTAATATTAAGAACTAGCTGTTGATTGCGACTTTGGCCGCGTAGAATATAAATTTTAGAACATATTTTTATGTTTCATAATAAAAGTAGTACATCTCAGCTACCTGCCAATAAAAGTCTTGCAAAATCGGTCCAGCCGTTCCAGAGATTAGCCAGTGCAAACAGACAAATAGACAAAAATTGTAAAAAGTAGATATTATTTTCGTATGTGTAACATATGCAAGTAATAAAAACGGTTATTGTAATATTACAAACATACACTCCATTTTATTTATTTGTAGAAGTTTGTTTGCCTTTCTTTTACGTTGCGTGAAGAATCATTACGGAAATACGGATGAAGCCGCGGGTAATAAATAACTAGTAGGTATATTAAACTTTACTCATGTCTGTGTATAATGATGTTGTGTAATTTTGTAAGTCTGGAGGTGTGTCCCAAGTTCGATGCCTGAGTTAAGATTGTTATTACTGTAATATTAATTTCTAGTCTCAGTAACAGTTAGAGTTTCAGGTTTGTGGTGAAAGTGTGTTTTATTTAAATAGATATAGAATTTAATTTAGAATTGAACGTTAGTTACGCCAAGCCCAATTATTATTATGTAGAAAGCTAACTAACTAGTGTAATTCAAAATTAATATTTGAAAGTTTTTGCTAAATATGTATCGATTTACTATTTGGCATATTTATCTTAGAATTTTAATAATATAAGTTGTTTATCAATGTCTTTCCAAAATGGTGCAGGTTTAGTACCAATTAAAATCACTATTAATAAACTATAGCGAATACAAAAACATTTGCTGTTACCTGTTACCTATTTAGATGACGCTGTCATCTGTCTCTTTCATAACTAAGTGTTAGAAAGGGACGAAACAAATCCATTACAATGACCTGAACTCAGGGGAATAACATCCACAATTAGAGAAAAAAACTTGAAGGTGTATTTCAAAGCATTTATTTCAAAACACATCACAATTATGGAATACGAATATCTCCTACATATTCCATTGGAGAGAACTCTATCACGTCCCACAAGACGACCGTAAATTCCGATTTTCAAATGAACCGACACATAAAGCTATTCACAGCACTTAAGTCCAATGTTCACTACTTCCTTCCTTCACCGCATCACAAATGTGAAGATAGATTCAATAACGTCATCCAAGTCCTTGCTGAAGGGAGAGAGCTGGGCCTCATAGCCCGTGCTTCTCTCCTTCCCAGCCACAAAGAGGTGGCAGCTGGTTCCAACCAACTGCACTCTGTCACCCTTCCATCGCTTGCTGATAATCACTGTTCCATTACTGCCCACCATGTTAATCACTCCATGGTTGTCTGACACTTCGATACGGCAGTCATTCCCGATCACTTCGATCTCTCCATGGTTGACTGAGACCCTCACAATGCAGTTGTTGCCCACGATCTTCAGCTGCGTAGGGTTAACTTCCATCGTCACCTTCTTCTTGTTACCAAGGATTGAGTATTTCTTCATTTTTGTAAATTGATTTTCTGTTTCTTCGTAAATGTAAGAAGAATGTGAAATTTTGAATTCGGTTTTGGAATTCAGAGTAGATTTATTTATTTAAAATTGGGAGTTGTTTGTTAACGTCTGTTGCTCACGACTGTAGGTGTGCGAATGAATATTTTTGTGCGGTGTGCGCTTTTATAGCCGCACGCGCATCGTAACCGTCTGATAGGGAGTCCCCTATGCGTCATTCATTCAACGATCGTGAATCGGCCGGTGTCGTCTGGTCGGCTCGTGTCCACCTGACTAACTGTTATAACACTCGCCTATTATAGTTATTCCCCCGAACTGACTTCTGGGTTAAATACTTTTTTTAATACTATGGGATTTGTTGTGGTTGCTCCATTGAATGGTTTATTAAATTGATACCGTGTTAAATATTTTATTTTGTTGTTTTTCCTGTTAGATCAGGAGGTGTGTTTGTTTTGGAGAGCATGTCTCTTGAATTATAAACGGTTACTATTATACTTACTACGTTTTGTTTACATTACGTATTTAAATAGTCCAGCTGTAAAAGATTGTCAGTAAGACTTGATTTAGGTAGTTGAATTAAACGCTCTTCTTCTGTGAACCTAAGGATCTGTAACATTTGTATTAATTGGATTAAAATTAAAGACATGTTGTTGAATAAAATAGTTTTTGAATTATAATTATATCATCAGCATCACACTATGATTATAAAAATATTTCTTTTCCATGTGGTCAAGCAAACATCTCAGTCCTCAGAGACATTATACAAAAAAAACTGCAAAACTTAGATCCGGTAAGAGGTTACTTCATATAGATTTTTGTGCATTCACGTAATTTTTATACGTTTATACAGGGTGTAAACGGAACGCTGCCAAAATGCTGACAATAATAAATTATTTTTACAATTTCATTCGGTATTGTTTTCGTATTATTCATGTAGGTAACATCAGCCTTGAGCAGTTCATTACAATTATTATTACATAAAAGAACATTTCTTTTAAGGGAGGAAAAATCATCGTATGACTTCTTCCGCCTGGATGAGGCAGGAGGGAGTGTAAGACTCTTACTGACTAAAAACCACCCCGTTCTTACTCATGCACTTCGAGTCGGAGCCCTAGCAACCCGATAGGTTCTCCGTGGCAAAAGAAACATTTAAATTACCCTACTTTTATGGAATTAAAATTTCGTTTTTTACCATCACCCGTCGGCATTTCGGCTTTTTCGGAAACGATCCGTTTAAAATTACACCCTGTATAAAAGATCTTACGAAAACCACAAAAAAAAATGCAACAACATTACACCTACCAAAAATATTTCGAAACATCATTAAGATATTACGAAACATTGTCATTTTGCTATACACAAAATAGTGATACATAAATCGTTATCAATAATATACTAATACTTATGTTTTTAAATATTCTTATCTTAGATAAAAAATGTTGGAGTCGGGTAATTATATGTACGTCACTAATACATAGGTAGGTATATAAGATAGTATATAATAAGACTTGAATTGTTATTATGTAATCTAAATCATTGAGTTCCTAGATAGATTTGATAAGGGGGCGGCCCGTGGCTACCTGTCGTGAAATAATGTCAATGACCATGCATTTTTTTTATTTATTTTACTATATTTTAGGCGTAGATACGAATATCTTGTTCAAACGTGTTTGTGATTTGAATATGACATTGATTTATGTGGTTTCCTTACATAATATTAGGCTTGTATTGATAGCTGAAGTATTTAGCGTTGGCCGAATGGTCCCAAGTGTAACTGCTGGGCAAGGGGTCTCGGGTCAGACAAAGTACAACGTGGTTCTTAAAAAAATCTCAGTATGCATTTACATTAAATTTTGAGTAAAACTAACAGATTGGTTCAACATGTAGGCTACATATTATCACGCTGTCTGCTACAAGGGAGGAACTGTGAATTTTCTTTTTGACGTGACGTCTTAAATTAGGTTGCGGCTGGGAGTCACTTATGAAAAAGTGTAACGCTGTTACGCTCGGTAACGTTACGATGAGTCACCGAACGAGAGAGAGGCCCGCCGAATGCCTTGCGTCTCTCTCCCACTCAACTATGATCGGTCTGCCGCGCGCGCAGCACTAGTTCATTCAATTCCTTGTTCCTATTGTGCAATTTAATTATATTCATATCAATAAATATTCTACCGAGAAAAAGACGTTGTCACGTAAAATCTTCGCCCGTAAAAACGACTTTACAGGCAACCATTTTTTTTTTATGATATAAGCCTGTAAACGAGCAGACGGATCACCTGATGGTAAGTAATCGGCGGCGTGGGACACCTGGAACACAAGAGGCGTTGCAAGTGCGTCACCGGCCTTTTGGGATTAGGAATTTAAGGATTGTTGGGTATTCAGGGATTGGGTTAGATTAAAGAGGTGTAGTTGGGCCTCCGATAATCTCAATTTCTGTGAGGCCGTGGTATCACTCCAGTCGAGCCAGCCCATTCGTGCTGAGGCATGCGTCTCCCACACTTAACTATTACTACTACTATTCCACGCGGACACAGCTGGTGCTTTATATTATTTTACTAGCGACCCGCCCCGGCTTCACACGGGTGGAATATCCATGTATTATACATATGAACCTTCCTTAAGAATCACTTTATCTATTTAAAAACCGCATCAAAATCCGTTCCGTAGTTTTATAGATCTAAGCATACATAAGGACAGACAGACGGCGTATAGCGACTTTGTTTTATACTATGTAGTGATTTAACTACCTTGAACGAATAAACTATTTGTACACTGATTATAATCAGTGTACCTCGGGACAAAACCGTTTAAATTATATTTTCAATCTGGAACTTGTTTCACTAATGATATTATAATGGTGCGGTGCAAAGTTCAATGATACTATACATATGTTGTTTTTATATTTACACATGTATGTGTGGAGATAAATCTAATATGTTCTTATTGTGAATGGTTGATGTAACATAACATAACATAACATCACGCCTTTTATCCCCGAAGGGGTAGGCAGAGGTGCACACAGAAGTAACACCCACTTTTCACTATTTATGTTATGAGTCCTTTGTAATAGGGAGTGAGCCTATTGCCATATATCGGGCACAATTCCAGACTCTGTGCTTGTTTGATTGTACAGTAGCATAATGTGCACCTCTGCCTACCCCTTCGAGGATAAAAAGAAGTGACATTATAAAAAGTTTACATTGTACAGTGGCATTATGTGCACCTCTCCCTACCACTTCGGGGATAAAAGGCGTGATGTTACGAAAGTACCCAAAAAGAACTACAATAACTGATTGTAGATAGAAAAACAGCCGTAGCAATGTTTATAAACAAGACTCAAATAACAGGAAATTAAAAACACGTCACTTTTCCTCCTCATTTTATTTATTTATATACATATACATTATCCTTGTGTATAGTATATAGTACTACATAGTAGCCTTGATCGTGTAATGAATAAGGCAAACTTGTAAGCGCTAAGTGGGTCATATAGTCTAGGTATACTATATTAGAGGTATAATATTATAAAGCTGAAGAGTTTGTTTTCTTGTTTGAACGCACTAATCTCCGAAACTATTGATTCGAATTGAATAATTATTTTTGTGTTGGATAGTCCATTTATCGAGGAAGACTATGGGCTATAAAACATCACGCTACGACCAATAGGAGCTGAGCACAGCGGGTGAACCGCGCGCAAGTATCTAGTATTAAATATATTGCCATTGGTACTATTTTATTAGCAACTATAAGTGATCATCTTCTATATCTTTATATACTATATATATAATTCTGCTGTACGTGTGTATGTCATTGAACTCCTCCTAAACGGCTTCACCGGTTTAAATGAATTTTTCTGTATACGTTTGAGTGGCGCCCTGGGTGGTTTAGATTCACAAATCAGCCCGGCAGATAGCACTGCAGTCGGTATCTAGATTATTTATGTATACCTATTATTATATTATTATTATTATATTATATGCAGGACAACGTCTGCCGGGGCTGCTAGTTATTATATATAAATGAATCCCTTTTTCCCTTGGTCACGGCATCACGTGTGAATGGCTGGACCGATTTCACTAATTCTTTTTTTAAGAATTTTTAAGTGTGGGAGAGCCATGCTTCGACACGAATGGGCCGGCTCGACCGGAGTGATACCACGGCCTCACAGAAAACCGACGTGAAGGAACGCTTGTGTTGTGTTTCGTCGTATGAAAGAAAGAAAGAAAGAAAAGCCATTTATTTGTGAGTGAGGTTACTTAGGCCCAATTACCCCTTCCTCAATCACCCCAATCCCTGAATTCTCAACGATCCTCAAACTCCTAATCCTCAAAAGACCGGTAACGCACTTTTAACGCCTCTGGTGTTCCATCCAGGTGTCCATGGGCGACGCCGATTGCTTACCATCAGGTGATCCGTCTGCTCGTTTACCGGCTTATGCCATAAAAAAAAGTCGGTCACGAATAATTATTGGGCATTTCTAAAGAACCTCTTAAATTATGAAGTCTACTTTTTATTATTAGTCTACGTTTAACTAAACAAACTAGTCTGATATATTATATATTATATTAGTATGTTGAGTGTGTAGTGACATTGTGTGCGTATTACTTATAAATTAGCATCTTTATGTTGTTTGTCTAACATTTTTTAACGTAACAAGACTGTTTTTCCCCGAAGATCTAAGTAAATAAATAAATATAAAAAAAATATTATTGTATAAAATCACGCCTTTTATCCTCGTCCCCGAACGGGTGGGCACAATGCCACTGTACAATGTAACACCCACTTTTCACTATTTATTTTTGTTATGAGTTCCGTGTAATAGAGGGTGAGCCTATTGCCCCATACCGGGCACAATGGGGATGATGACAGGGTATGAAAATTAAAAATATAATTAGTCCGTAACTTAGGTAATAAAAAAATATTAGACACGTATTTTTTTATTTTGTTGTATAATAAAACAATACTTAGATAAAACGAATCAAAGTTTAGGAGTGGGGGCTAAAACGTCATTTCTTAGTATAAAGTGTACTGAGAAGTGACGTCACGCGACATTTCAAATCAATATATCTTCGAAACTATTCGTTTCCGTAAGAAAATAAAAAATACGTGTCTAATGTTTTTAAATAATCTACCAGACGGACATTAAAATAAAAATTAGTCGTCTACCCCATTCCAGACTTCATGCTACCACTGAGAATTTTTTTAAAA